TTAGTGGTGAGGACACTCAGTAAGATCTTCCATGTTGACTCCTTCCACCTGAACCTCCTGCTCCTAGACTGCCTGTTGCTCCTCCTGATGCTCGGGTTAAAACTCAAGTAGAGTCTCCTTCTGGGGAACCTATAGCATGCATATGCACAAATAAGTATCATGAATGCATAAGAGATGAGATGATATGATAAATTGTATACACATGATCATGGTTATCCGCAAGATATATGATAAGTTTAACATTCATTGACTAAGTATATATATAACTTTCTTCTCGTTGATCTTTACTGAGTAGGTGCATATCTCTTCTATAGTACAAGAAACACCAAATTCTAGTAATCTAAGGTAAAGTTGTTCATCATCAGTAATAGGCTTAGAATCTGCAGCTAACAACTAATCTCAATTATCCTAAGCATCTACACAAGCATCACATAAGACAAACAATTACAATTGACTTAGTCATTTCCTGCTATAAACAGTAGCTACTTATTTTGGCCATATCTGGAGTTCTACTCAACCAAATCTATGATCTTGGACTTTCTCGAAAGCTTATAAAACTGGCTACAACTTTCTTATAGTCATATCAAGATGATTCAATGGCTATCAAGGTCAAACAAAGTAATTTCCTAGATCTGTCCAGAAATTCCAGAGAATAAGCATTTCTGGAGACCAATTTCTAACAGCTATAACTCTTAAACCATTTAGCCTACTGCCATAAAAATTTGACACAAGTAAAATAAGTAAGTTATCTACAACTTTGTTATTGATAAGATTCACATCAAACATCATTTTACCCATATAATTTACTTAACAACAGAAACTGTCCAAAACAATCACTAAAATTGAATTATGTAGCAATTAATATTTCACTGCGTACAAGCAATCAAGTTTAGGCACAACCAATGGTACCAATAGTTCATAGATATCACATACACTTTAGAAAATATAACGGTCCAGCCCAGATAAATTATTTAAATGCCTTTATTAATTTATTTGGACACTAAGGTGAAATAAGGAACATATATCTAAAGTGCACAGTAAATTCTAAGAAATTACAGTAGCCTGCATATGACCCTAAAAATTTATTGTACAAATTTTATACCATTTGAATAAGTATAGCTATCTCTACAAAAATGATAAATTGCATAGGCTTATTTTAGCAAAAATAGTTTAGCCTAGTGAAAAGTGTCAAACAACAGATTTCATATTTTTTTAACTTTCATCCTAGAACCATAACATTGTTTAAAAATTTACATGATCATTAGTTATGTATTTTTACCCCATTTATTTTCACTAGAAACTAGCAATTATTTAATATTAAATAGGAAGACCATATTCCAATTATGCTTACTGTAGATTTAGTATTTTTCTTAGCTAGAGAATGTCAACATAAGATCAGCAAAATTAGAATCATAATTTTATCATTGTCCTAGCTCAAGTTATGCATTTTACAAGATATAAACTACTTTAAAAGCACTTATATAGCTCAATTTAATTCTCCTAGAAAAATATCCGAAACAGTAGGTTTTATATTTTTATCAAATAGTACACTTCGTGATGAATCCAACAAAATTTGGTTCACTCAATTTGGATGCTCCTATCTCTAGATATCAATTTTTGAAACATGTATTCAAATATATGAAAAAATAAGAAAATTAAAGAACACATAGACTGATAGATGGGCCCGCGGTCAACGGGGCCCGCTCGTCAGTGAAACAGAGACAGGGGATAGAGGTTGATCGGTGATAGCTCGCCGACGGCGAGGTCTCCGGTGAAACCCCGGCACCATCATGTTTCTCTTGTCAACCCGCACATAGGGGTACCCCAGGTTGGGTTGGTGGCTCACCGGAGCAAGCTCACCAGCAAGCATGGCGGACGGCGGTGGTCACACGGTGGTGCGTCAGCCGTCTCTGGCCATGGCAGGGTCTGACGAGGACGATCCTACCTCTAAGGTGACCATAGCTCTAGAGCAAGATCTGGCCACGATGAAGCAGTGGGAAACCTGATCGCGTGCATGGTGGCACAGCGGCGCCCAGCGCACACGGCGGAGCTCTCCGTTCTGGCTAACCAGCGACAAGAGATGGGTCTCCAACTTCATGGTCGGAGCTAGCGTTCGTGGCTATTCATAAACACCTTCGAGCAGGGGGATGGCGAGACCTAGGGGCTACTGGCCACGGCGAGCTTGAGCTCATGGCCATGGCGGGCACGGTGGGAATAGTGATGCATTCCCATGTGATGGTGCAGTAGCATCTACCCTAGCTACGGCCTGAGCAGAAGTGACCTAAGGCAACTACGGACCAAACGATAGGAAGGCAGGAGATGCAGTGGAGCGGCCTGGCCACGGCGAGCCGAGAGCACGAAGGCGCTTCATTGATGTTGTGGCGGCGAAAACAGCCATAGGCCTTTACCTTAGGCTCAAACAGCAGCTCTACTGGGTCGAGGTGGTAGAGCGGAGCAAGGCGGAGCTTTTGGCATGGGCAATTTGGAAATGGAGTGTTGATGGCTGCGCGCGAGCTCCATGAAGCTCATGGCGGCGGCGACGCTGCTCGGCTACAGGATAGAATGAGCGCAAGTCGAGGCAGAGAAAGAGGAGCGCGAGGCGAGGCAGGATAGAATGATCGACCGATGCTGGAGGAGCGCGAGGCGCGCCACCTCCCAGCCAGTCACCAGAGTTCTTAATGCGAACTCGATGACTCGCGACGCTTCTCGACGGAAGCGACGCCCGCCACGCGCCCCTCCAGTGCCGGTCGACCGGCCGGCTCTAGCCCACCCGCTGCCGACCCCCACCCGCGACGCGCCTAGGCCGAGCACGCCCAGATCGACCCTCTACACGTGCTCAGGAGCCCTCCCAGCCTGACCCTAAGGTTTGGGCGGTGCCTGCAGCGACGTGCCGGCGTCCTACACCACTGTTAGAAACGAGTACCCAATAGGTATGCCCACCCCTTCTCTTCACTTCCTGCTGTCGGGAAGGAGAAGATGTCGTGGGAAGGAGGAGATGCACGCAGTCTCGCTCCGCTTAATTTTATGCACGGAGCAGGCCGATATGCCAAGTGCGGAAAGGTGGGGAAGGGTTATGGGGTACTCTTGGAGATGAGTTTTTCTCCTTTTCCCCAAAAAAACATGGATGGGGAAGGGATATGGGGCATGCTTGGAAATGCTCTACTATGTGAGACAGTTAAAGGGCCCACTTTCTTTCTCTTGCGCTGCTGCTACCGCCTTATTCAATATCCTACCAGTTTTGTGCCTATATGTGACAACGTATATATAGTTTTGTGCCGCTTGGAGGAGGCACAAAATCCTTTTGGAAAGTGTCCATTTAACCTCCTTGAACTACTAGTGTATTATATATATAGCCCCTTGAACTTTCAAAACCATTCGAATTGGCTCGATGTCTTAGTTTGAAGTGGTTTGAAGGTATTTTTGTTCTTCTCAGTTAATTTTTTTGCATATAGTTGATAAGGTTTTTTAAACCACAAAAAATATCTCTAAATTTGTAAAATTTTTAAGAAAAATCCTAGAGATAGATTGGGATACGACGAATCAAAATAAAATGTTTAGAACCTATGAAAATAACTCTTGAAACATCCAAAAATAGATTATCTCTATACATTTTGTAAAAAATATCTAAAAAATAAAATTTTGTAAAAAATATTATTTATGAATAAATGCCTAACATTTCCACATAAAAGATATAAGATGCAACCAACATGAATGCATAGCATGAGTGCAATATTAATGTATGTTGCATCTATGCTAGTTGCATCTCATAATTTTGTCATGAAAAGTTTTCAAAAATGCATTTGGACTTTAAAAAAAGTGTTTTCACAATGTTCTATTTTTTTGGATATTTTCCTAAACATATTTTCACAAGCTCTAAATATTTCATTTTTATTTTTAGTATTCTAACCTATCTCTAAAGTCCCGTTTGGATCCTTGGAATTGAATTCATTTTAATAATTATAATTTAGACACATATTAATTAAGCTAATATAGTTTTATATGGATTATATTTGTATATTATTGTTGGCTACATGAGAGACATAGTTATGTGTTGCATTTCTACCGTAGGGAGAGAGTTGAAGAGCGTGTTATAAGTTGCAAAGTAGAAATATAGAATGATGATCTGTAGAATGAATTTCCATCTTCCACCCTATGAATTTAAGATAGGCTTATATGTGAACTTTGGAAAGTTGTCGAATGTCGAATTCCAAGCTAAGTAGCCTAATTTATTAAGTAGATTTCAATTTCTTCAAATGAAAGGATCCAAACGCCCCCCTAAGATTTTTCTCAGAACTTTTCGAGGTCTGAAGACCTTTTATGTAGTTCAAAAATCCCATAAAGTATATTTATCAAATTGTTTTTATCTAAAAAAGACAAAACGGACTTCAGAATCACTTCAAACCAAGGCAGGAAGGTAAGCTGAGAGTTCAAGGGTAAAACATTTGGTTTTACCGTTTGAGGAGAAACCTAATACATTTTCGAATTAGACTTTGTATCATCGTTGCACGCGAGTTTTCTAACTCGTATGATGAGCACGGATAATGAATTTGGGTTACTACGAGATATAGAAGATGCGTGTACAGTTTGATAAGTAAAGTAAAAAATGGGACAAAAGAAGGAAACCACACGCAGAGATTTTAGAAAAAAAAATAGAATGAAGAAATACTTCGGTTGGGTTTTGTTTCCAATCCTCTCTGCCAAGAATCATCCAATGCCTCCTCTTTCCCGAAGCTTCTCGTGTGCATTCAGCCCAGCCCGCGACCCAAGTGCGGTCCATGTAACACGACGAAACGAGCGAGGAGGCTTCACACAACACAAGTCGCTGGCCGTAGCAACGGCCGACGCGATAGCTGGCTCCTCCGCCAACTTCATTCATCCAAAACAAAAAGGGCGCTCGGATCCCGCCCGCACCGCACCACCCCCACCCCCAACCCCATCCTCCACCACCACGCCACGCTCTTCATTGCTGGCCTCCTCTCCCTACTCCCACCGCAACCACCATGGCCACGCCCCAGCCTCTAGCAATGCCGAACACCTTGGTGACCCTCCCCAACGACCTCGCCCTTTCGATACTCGGCCGTGTCCCGTGCAAGGACGACTGCGCCAGCATGTCCCTCGTCTGCAAGGCATGGCACGACATGATTGCCCGCCTCAGCGCCAGGTTCGTGCGCCCCAAAAGATGAGCATGCAGCTCGCAGCCCGGTGGCCCAGCTCGAAGCACATTTTTTTGGCCCGACCCAAGCACGGCATGGCCCTGTATTGTGCGGGCCCAGACCAGCACGGCCTGATGCACTGGGCCGTGCTTGGCCACACCCAAGCCCATGGGCTGGCATGGCACGGCCCGTATTTTTGTGGCAGGCCCGGTGAGCACTATGGCCTGCTAAGAGCCCACTAGGTCCGGCATAAAACTTAAAGTGTCTGAACGACCATAAATGATCACTCATTGTGGTGGGATACAGTGTTCAAACGACCCTAAATGACCACTCATTTGAGGGGAATTAGATTTGCACAAAACTTAAAGTGTCTGAACTAGTGTGATTTACTATCCTTAAGGCCTTGTTTGATGTATGTGTATCAACTTCAATCCACATATGTTGGAGTGGAATGGAATTGAACTTAGTTTAATTACACTCCAATTCATTTTAACATACGTGAATTGAGATGAATACATGCGCATCCAAACAAAGCCTAACTCATTTACGGTTTGTTTCTAATTTCTATCTACCTGATCAGACCGATGATGTTGTTAGGATAAATGCTGATTAGTCTAGTCCAATGCTTTGCATTGCTGTGGTCTGAACTCTGGTATGCAACAAGGTTTTTGTAGTTTCTGGTGTTTTTGGGGCTGCCTATCAGATTTCGGGAACTCGGATGCAGAATGGTGTCAATGCAATAAAATCCGAAATCCCTTAATTTTTCTTGCAGTATCCATACTAAGTTTATTGTGAGCTCTCTGTTCTTATGGCAACTAGGTGAGAGACTAAAGGTCATAAACCTGAACTGAGATTCCACAAATGACTAGCTAACGACTTACCTACTATAACTTTGATGTGCTGATAGTTTTGCATTTCAAAAACTCTGAATTTTCCTAACGTGAAATTTCTTTTTAGTTAGCAGTGTCAAGGGTCAAATTTTCACATTTCTTTGGGAACATATGCAGGGCATTTGTGACACAATCACTGTCACACAGATGGAATATATCATGCCTCCAAATTTCACGTTCTGCCTCCCATACTTCAACACATTGATATTTACTTATATTTTGTCCGAGTACGTATATACGTTGAAATTTGAATATGTATTTTTAGAAGTTTCTCGACTCGTGTGTAATTTAGAATTGTTACTTACACAAATTGCTTTGCACTAAAAAACAACATTCTGATTGCTTAAAACGGTCCACACGTGTCCCTTAACCCCGGTCAATGCCAAGGAGGCAAGTATCGCAACCAGAAAATTCTGTTTTTAAGCTTTTTCTATACATAAAATAAATAATTTAATTATTTTAATATTTTCAAGCTTTAGCTAGTTATTTATTAATTTTGATAAATTAAAGTGTCTTTATAAATTTTAAAATTAAAATTTCTACGGGTGTTACATTCATGCAGGTTAGGTGATTCTATTTGAGTGAAAAATAAAGAGAGTTTGATGTTTCTGTCACTCAAGAATGCAATGACGATTTTACCACTACAGGTTTAACTTTGTGATTTTGTCCTCTTGATTTTGATTTGAAGCGTCCGTTTACCTATGTTTTGTTACACCGTTTAGTCTAGGTGGATTAAATAGCAAAAAAAAAAAAGAGAAGACCACGCGAAATGACAAGAATACGCTCAGGTTATGTTTTCCTCTCATCATTGGCCTCTCACGTGTTGCTCGATCGATTCCTTTTCTCTTTGACGCAATAGGTTTTGGAGAAACCCGGTGGCAGTGACCATGGGTGGCAGCAACCTCGGCCTCCGACGGCTAGGTGGCCAGCATAAGGCAGCTAACCAGCCCCGACGGCTAGACAGCCAACCACTAGGTGGGCGGCTACCACTAGTCTAGGACGTCCGGTACCAAGCGGATGGAGAAACTGCTGGGAGACTTGCTAGTTTGTTAGGTCTTAATGCTTGAATGTGATATTTGCCAATAGAGATGTCAAAACTTAATGCTAGGTGCTACTTTTGTTTTACATGTCATGTGGACCTATGTGTTGCCATCTCCTGGTCATCCCTAATGGTTTGATGATTACATGCAAGTTATGTGATAATAAACTTGTCTGAACTGAGGTATAAATATTTTCCAAATTTTACAAAATTTGATAAATTTTGCACAAATTTATAATAATAAAACGAATGCTTAAATTTGTATCTAATTTTATTGTCAGCATCTCTACTAAATCTGTCAAAACTTTAAGCTTGAAATTGGGGTAAAATCACATAGTTCTCTTACAAAACAAGGGTACAACTACAGGTCTATTTATGCAAAAGTTAACACCATTAACTGGACTTTACGGAATAGGTTCAGACTCTTCCTTCCGTTCGAAAACTTAAGGTAAATCACAAAGTTTAAAAATGAAGATAAAACTACCATTTCACTTCAAAACAAGGTCATGAACGCTTAAACCCCAAAAAATAATCTATAAAATTCAAATAAGCCTCGTATACATTTCGTTCTATTTCCAAAATAAAGACTATTTTTTTTTAAACTTGTTTAAAAGATGAGTTCAAGTATGAGTTTCAAAAGTCTTTGAAAATGTAACTTAATAGATTTTAAAGTTTATTTGAGAAGACAATTGTTGGGGGATGGCACATGGCTTGGGACCCCCGACTGCGTAACGCTGCTTTCTGCCGTTGTTTTGCATGCCGATACCTCCGAGCGGCGAAACCATTGGCAGAAGGAAATGCTCGTTTCCGCCCAGCCTGCGCGGAGGCGCCCTGAGGCTTTCGGTCGTTGTCTCGCATGCCGATACCTCTGAGCGGCGAAACCCTTGGCGGAAGGAAACTCTCGTTTTCGCCCAGCCTACGCGGAGGTGCCCTGAGGCTTTCGTCCTGTGTTTCCGTGCTGATACCTCCGTACGGCGAAACCATTGGCGGAAGGAAATGTTCGTCTCCGCCCAGCCTACACGGAGGTGCCCAGAGGCTTTCGTTCCGTGTTTCGCGTGCCGATACCTCAGTTCGGTGAAACCCTTGGCGGAAGGAGATGTTAGATCCGGCGTGCCGATAGGGCGACACATGGGAAAATCTCTTCGACAGGATGGTAACTAACCCTCGTATAGCATGTGACTGCATGCAGGTCTTTTTGCCGCTGCCATTCGGTCGATCTGCCCAGGAGGCCCAACAGGGGCCAGTCGAAGGGGGCCACCTAAGGGAGGCGTTGCCCGAGGGAGGCCATAGGTGGGATGGACCAAAGGCACCCCCTGAGGAAAGGAATATGCCCGGTTGACATAGTAGGTAGGAGGCATTATGGTCCTTGTAAAAGATATGGTCGTGTATAAATAGCGCTCCACCAGGGCATTGTAAGGGGGGGATGGAACCCTAGTTCCTTGATCAATATATGCATACTTCTCATCACTCCTTTGTTTCGTGTTGCTCCTTTCGGTCTTCCACACTGAGTCTTCGGTAGTTCGAGCGGCAGCCTGGTGTTCCAAGGTTGAGGCCTAGAACAACATTGGCGCCCACCGTGGTTGTTGCTCGAGCTTGCCAAGGCCGAAAGAAGGTATCCAAGACGGTAGTTGACAAAGCCAAAACATCCAAGACCGTCGGTATCACGACCGTCGAAGCGGCTGTTGTAGCTCACCCAATCATCGTCGAGCCAAGGGCCTTGGAACCATGCGTTGAGGAAGTGGTATTGCCAGACAAAAGGGCGGAAACGCTAGAAGGGGAGGTTCAAGAAGTAGATGACAACCAAGATGAAGAAGATGGAGAAATTATAGATCAGGCAAAAGAGCTCAGAAGGTTAGAACAATTCCAGCAGATATCACAAGATTGCAGCGAGAAAAAGATCATCTGACGCAGCAGGCCGAAGCATGAAACAGAGCCAACCAAACTCTGAGGGCCATCAAGCACGCCGAATCCAAAAGAGAAAGATTGCTTAGAGAGATCCAGCAGTTGCAAAGAGCAGGGGCTAATGGTCCGGGCCACGCCACCGAAAACAAGGTACTCCAGGAACCCGGAGCGCTAGTAAAAAACGACGAAACTTACGACCCATCTTCTCCATTGTCAAAAGAACTCCAACAGCACCCCTGGCCAGCAGGCTACAAGGCGCGCATTATGGCTTTTGACGGAAAGACCAACCACATAAAGTTCATAGTTGCTTACGAGATGGCAGTATTTTTAGCCAGGGGAGATGCGACAACCCTAGCGAAATCGCTCGTCTTAGTAGTCGAAGACGTCGCCCATGATTGGTACACTTCCCTCAAGCCTCTCTTAATCAATTCCTGGCAGTAGGTGAAAGTAGAGCTTCTGGCGACCTTCTAGGGATACTAATTGGGGACAAAAACCACAAGGGACCTTTTGAATTACAGCCAGCAAGGCAACGAACCATTGTCCGAGTACCTGGAAAGATTCATCCTGCTAAAGGCCCAAGTGCCGAATGTGCTGGAAGCCACCGTAATAGCAGCAGCAATTGAAGGATTGGCAATCGGTCATTGCGCAGCACATTTCGCAAGGGAGGCAGTACGCCAGGTCGGACGATGACTTCAAACGCCAGAAGGCAGCGCGCAACCAACTCAGACAAGCACCTAAGATACCGTGAGCCCCGTAGGCACCGACTCAGCGCAATGTAAGACCCTTTTGGTCAGTCAACAATCGGCACCGGAGCAACCTCAGCCCAACCAGCAACAGCCACAATTGTATCGTCCATTCGATTTCCCAACACGCGATGGCAGAGGTAGCCGTCCGCCGCGAGGGGGATGAGACAGCAAAGGTCGAATAAGAGGGCCAAGGCCCCCATACTACACCATATGTGGCGAGAACACCGGCCATTTCACCAAAAATTGCAAGTACAGTCAGATGGCCAGAGAGCTGAAAGAGAAGGACTTGGCGTCCAGAAGCAGCGAAGCACCCAAGCACGTCTTTCACAAGGCATCTCGCGCCGAGAGCAATCATACTCAGTTCTATAGTCAGTTGCCCCTTCCGGTTGGTCAAAATGTAATGCACCAGCAAAGTTTCTCGCAAGGCTGTTCCCAAGCACCTTTCGCTTGGTAGTACCCAACTTTCCCACCTTATCAGCAGTTCGCTCAATACCTAACCCAACCAGTTGCGGTATCTTCACCAATCCAGCCAGATCAACAACAATCCGGCCAACAGAACCAGGCCAAACAGGAAAATGCAGCAGATCAACACACCGTCAATAGCATCCTTCTGTCACGTGGTCACATTTTTGCCATAACAGGAGGGTCCAACGAGGAGCACGAAAGCAAAAGAGCAAGAAGGGATTATGAAAGTAGAGTCCATACGGTGTCCCCAAGGCTACCCTTGAATAGATCAGCTTGGTCCTTGGTTCGAATCACTTTTGACGAAAGCGATTTTCAAGTAAGAGACTTCCCACATTCCGACGCTTTCATCGCAACAGCGAATGTGGCTGACTTTACGCTGCATAACATTCTGATAGACACGGGGAGCTCGGCAGATATACTTTTCATCAAGGCTTTTGAGTCCATGGGATTGGATAAGTGCACCCTTGAACCGGCAGGAAAATCCCTGTTTGGTTTTGGCAGCAAAAAGATAGATGCTATCGGCAAAAAGGCCATTCCAGTATCATTCGAAGAAGGCAAACGAGTAAGGACAGAAACAATAATGTTTGATATAGTTAACATGGACTACCCATCACTACAAGAAAAAATGGTATTAATGACGGAATATGTGGTCGTTAAAAGTCCAAATGTGGTCGCTAAAAGTTATTAACGACCACAAAAGTATGGTCGTCCATGGTCGTTAAAAGCTCCGTCGTTAATACAATTAACGACCACACAATTTTCCCCGTCGTTAACTTTTCAACGACCACACAATATGTGGTCGTTGATACTACACTAATAACGACCACATTTATAGTAATAATGACCACATTTTTTATCGTTAATATTTTTTATACCATCTGGCATGAAGTACTAACGACCATTTTTTAGTAACAACGACCATTTTCTAAACTTTTAGTACAATATTTATGCTCGTATTTCACATTGGCTAACACCAATTTTTATTGGGTGAGCCACCACTTTGCACAATATACAAATGCACATTTACCATACCAGAAATCTATGATAAATAAATTTGCAACAGATTATTCATAAATAACTCTTAATATTACAAATGTATCTAATACTGCATGACTTAGCAATCCTATTACAAAGAAGCAAAAGTCATGCTCGAAGGCAAGCACACAATTAGCTGGTCCTCCTCACAAACAATTCCTTTGTCATGCTTCTAATAATATTCTCCAACCTGATTCCTACAATATGAGATTCTTAACAGTTCCCTGGATATTCATGTTGTCTTTAAACAGCATGCATATGACCCTTTCTTATGCCCATCACCTTCTTGAGTTGCTCGATTTTGTAACTTCGACTGTAATTTTTTTCTACCAGCCCAGCTACAGTACAAGATGTCCTGCATGTTTAGGAAAAGAATCACTTGCATACCCATAAAAGAAACTGTGCTACAGTTCTACTTTGCAGAATTCTACGATCAAAAGAAAGAAGACAAACCTAACAGGCATGGAAATCGTTTTAGGCATTACATACAATTGATATTCTTGATTCATGATGCCCTTCAATGCCGACAACATAGAGATAAATCCTGCATTAGAATTTCCAACTCATAACTAGAGTGTCATAGGATTCTTGTGTAGATCAACCACATATAAGATTTATGTTTCAAGATTGAACTTAAGAAATACTATCATAATATATAGTTCACATGTTATGAAACTACATTATTATTTTTTAAAATTGATTGTCACAGTTAAAAATGTTTGACTTAATCAACCTGATGGGACAAGTAAAAAAACAGATGGAGTAGTATTGAGGAAACAACGAAATAGTAAAAAAGTTAGGTTATTAACATTAAACAAGCACGAGGAATTACCTAATACACATTTGTTTGAGAAGACATGCAGGATTGGTATCTCGCAATTACTAATCAAGAAAAGTACAATTCATTCCTTTTTTTTTTGAAGGAAAGACTTCATGCCTTTTACCTTTTTCTTTAATGTGATGAAAGGTATTGCAGTGCAGCACCGGCGGTTCCAGACACCATAGCACAGGAGCAGCAGACGGTCATCAGACCCTGCAACACTGGGCCTTTTGCCGAGGAAACAAATTAGTTTAGAAACAAAGCAGTGATTAGAACAACCTGATAGAAGTTATACTTGTAGGCTGCGGACGCGTGATATTTTGATATGTCCAATATTTTAGTGATGAGAGGATAATTGATAACACGGCGGGACGCAACGAATCAACGTACCAGGTAAAGCAAATTTAACGCAAAAATCAAAAGACTCGCTCTACAAAATACTGCAATTTTTTTTCCGAACATTACATTGACCACATTCAGTATTAGATTCAATATTATACTAAGGAGAATGTGAACAGATCACCGTACGTGACTCTCAACCAAGAAAAATACAACTGAAAATTATAGATCTGATATATAAGGATGGACTAGGGAACCTGGTCGCTGCTCCTGATCGAGATCTTGTAATTAATCTTGCCCAGTGCATCGCCAGGCCATCACCGAGATGCATCTGGGCAACAGCATGCGGATCGCGCGCCTCCCCGTCTTTTTTCGTGAATGCTGATCCGGCAGGCCGGCGCTCGTACCCATCACGCCGTCTCGCAGTCCGAGGCCCTCGCCTGCGGCGTGCGTCCCTGGAGTTCTCGACTTGCTAGGGTTAGACGGAAGAAGTCATGGGGCAATAGAAATTGGCTTCCGCTTGCTGGTTTTATTTTGTTGCCAACTGCCGGTAATTAAGGTACACAGCTGTACCGAGTACCGACGACCACATTATACGTGTAATTAACCACGGGTAGCTTTTTGGTCGTCGGGATCAAATTATAGCACCAACTTAAAGGCCGGACTGGGCCAAATGATCGCCGACGACCACATATTATCAGTGGTCGTTATACACAGCCATTTTCAGTAGAGGCTTCACCAACAAATTCGAAATGGTGATTAAGCAAAGTTATCTGTGCATGAAAATGCCTTCACCTTTCGGCATAATCACCATCCACGGAGATCAACTCGCCTCAAGGCGCATAGAGGGCAAGCCTATACCTAGATATAGCCTCATCAACAAAGTAACCAAGAAGCCAGAAGGGATCGAGCGCAACAACGAGAAAATCACTAGCCCAAGGGCCGAAACTGGAGAAGACACTCAGAAAACAAACGCCTTTAACCGAGGCAGTACCAGAAAAGTGTGTCCACATCGGCACAAGCTTATCAGATCAGGAGAAGCAGAACCTCATTTCTTTTCTTCATGAAAATGACGATGTCTTCGCTTGGTCGGCCAAGGATCTCCAAGGCATCAGTAGGAATCTCGCGCAACATAACCTGAACGTGACGAAAGGATCTATCCCAAGAAAGCAGAAGTTGAGGAAGATGTCAACTGAAAGAGCTAAAGCGGCAAAAGCAGAAGTACAAAGGTTGTTAGATGCTGGTGTCATTAGGCCAGTTTAGTGCCCAGAATGGCTGGCAAATGTAGTCATGGTCAGAAAGAAGAATGGAAAATGGCGAATGTGTGTTGACTTTATAGATCTAAACAAGCACTGTCCGAAGGATCCGTACCCTCTACCAAGAATTGACAAATTGGTAGACATTGCGGCAGGGTGCGAAATGATGAGCCTGTTGGATTGTTTTTCAGGCTATCACCAGATTTGGCTGAACCCTGAGGACGAAGAAAAAACAAGCTTCATCACTCCTGGCGGAACATATTGTTACCGTCGCATGCCGGAAGGGTTGCGAAACGTAGGCCGCACCTTTTCAAGAATGACAGATGGAGTTTTTCACAAACAGAAGGGCAAGAACTTGCCTATGTGGATGACATAGTAGTAAAGAGTGACAAAAAGGAATCACACATTCAGGACCTGCAAGAAACTTTCTAGAATCTAAGAAAGAGTGGCCTCAAGCTGAACCCCGACAAATGCATTTTCGGTATCCAAAAGGGTAAGCTGCTAGGATGCTTAGTCTCGGCAAGGGGAATCGAAGCGAATTCAGACAAGATTGCAGCAATAGCAAACATGCAACCGCCGACAAACAGGAAACATGTCCAGAAGCTAACTGGCAGATTGGCGGCACTAAACAGGTTCATCGCAAGATCAACCGAAAAGGGATTATCATTCTTCATGACATTGAGAAATTCAGATTTGCTCGATTGGGGTCCCTAACAGCAACAAGCTTTTGACGACCTAAAGCAGTACTTAACTAAACTCACAACCTTATCCAGGCCATCACCAGGAGTAGCCCTATTGCTATATCTAGCAGCTTTGCCTACCACAGTTAGTGCAGCTTTAGTAGAGGAAAAAGAGCACGAAAACCAGCTAAAGCAATTTCCCATATATTTCATTTCCAAAGCCTTGTCAGGAGCCAAACTGAACTATACAGAGCACTACATTCAAGCACATCGCATCAGAGTCCTATCAGCTCAACCGCTAGAAGCTCTATTCCGTAACAGTGAAGCAATCAGACGTATCGGCAAATGGGCCACAGAACTCAACAAATACATAGTAGATTTTGAGCACACATCAGCCATAAAGTCACAGGCATTGGCAGATTTCATCGCCGATTGGACACCATCCGCTTTCGACACAACTGTGAAGTTTGAGGAGCCAGAATGGACAGTACATTGTGATGGTGCTTGGGGAACAGCTGGTGCAGGGGTCTCAGCCATCCTGACACCACCTTCCGGTCCAAGGCTACAGTATGCTGCCAGGCTACAGTTCCTATCCACAAATAACACCGCTGAATACGAAGCTATGCTGCTTGGACTCCAAAAGCTCAGAGCGCTCGGAGTACGCAGATGTGTAATCATGTCAGATTCTTGGGTAATAGTAGGGCACATCAAAAAGAATTTCACTGGCAAAGAGCACGAATTAGTCAGGTATCTGGCAGCCGTAAGGAGAATGGAGAAGCATTTCGTAGGTTTCACGTTGCGCCATATACCAAGAAGCAAAAATGCAAAAGCCCATGAATTAGCAAAGGCAATGCGCCGATGCCCCCCGACGTATTCTTCCAAGTATTGACAGCTAAATCAATAAAAGAGGAAGAAGATCACCCGGCAGCGGTACATGCAATCGCCAGTGAAGATTGGAGGTCCCCAATCTTCACTTTCCTCACCAGAAGTTATGAGCCTACTACCAAGCAGGAAATGGAAAGGATGAATGCCAGAACAAAACTGTACTCTATGATCGGTACAGAACTATACAGAAGCGGGATCGAAGCTCCATTGCTCAAGTGTATCAGCAAGCAACAAGGCATTGAACTACTGAATGATATTCATGCCGGTTCATGTGGGGCACATAGAGGTCCACATGAAATTGCCCACAGAGCGATGAGGCAAGGATTCTATTGGCCATCGGCAGCGGAAGATGCTAAGCAATTGGTCCGTACATGCGAAAAATGTCAGATGTTCGCAAAGAAGCAGAGCGCGCCTGCAAATCTGACCAAATCCATCATCCCAACATGGCCTTTGCAGAGATGGGGAGTCGATATAGTTGGACCACTTCCGTCGGCACCAGGCAACCTCTGGTTCGCGGCAGTACCACTAGAGTATTTCACCAAGTGGATAGAGGCTAAGACACTAGCAAAGATAACATCAGGCACTCTAATCAGTTTCGTCTGGTAGAGGATCATCTGCCGATTCGGTGTACCAGCATACATAACAGTGGATAACGGGAAGCAGTTTGACTGTA